CACACAAAAAGCAAATCAAACCACCAACAATCTAAGCATCTACCAATCATCAATCAATCTGATCAATCCATACTAAATCAAACACAATACAACACTAACAATCATAACTCTTAAGCACACTAAATCAAACCACACAAATAACTATGGGTTGCCTCCCATAAAGCATTTTTTTTAACATTTAGCCCGAAAAATGATTCCACCTGGATCAAAATTCCATTTAAATATTCCTTGATCAATCACCCAATCTTTTCCAAATCTAGCAATTCCTACAAAGTCCTCGAATTTAAAGTTTTCTTTCAACTCTTTTATTTTAGATTGATTCATATCATTGTTCCTCATATTTCTTTCTAGATCCAATATTCTCCTAGTGATTTTCTCAATTTTCATATGAATATCATCCTTCAATTTTATAAGAATGGATCTTTATAAGATACTTCATGATCTCCCAAATTTTGGATCGGATTACCTCTAGATAATTCAGATTCTGGATCAAATTCTTCTTGTTTCCTCTTTTGTTCAATGTTGTCTTTCAATTCTTCCCCTTGGTACTCAGTAAATGGTAGAAGTGGTCTTTCTATATTTATCTTAATTGAGGAAATAAGTTTTTCTAATTTTCTAGGGATTTTTTCCATTTGTCTTTTTATCTCCTTATCCTCATTTCTCAACTCAAAGTTCTTTTGAAACATATCCTCAAATTTTCTTCTAAATATTAATTCAATAATTTCAAATTGCTCATCATTTATATCCTCATCATTTATATCATTTATATCCTTAGGATTTATCTCAGGGTCACTAGGTAAAATTTCTGGGGGGTAACTGTTAATTGCATTAATAATTTGCCCCAGTTGGTTTTTTACATTTCTTTGTGCAACCTCTTGATTTTCCAACTCACTTATCATTTGAATCACAACCTCTTCTAAAATTAATTACTTCTCCTCATCTTGTGAGTTGGAGTTAAATTGAGGATGAATATTAATTGAGTTAATAATCTGCCCCAATTAGTTTTCCATATTCATTATTACGGTCCCTTGACACTCGAGCTCACTCTCCATTTTAATAACAACCTCTTCTAATAAATCCTTCTCCTCATTCTGGGGGTTGAAGTTAAAATTATGAGGAAAATAAAGTTCATCATTATAATAGCCCTGATTATTCTAATTATACATTCGACTGAATTGATTATCTTCTAAAAATTGGTCTTCTCCTCCAAAATTATTATTCCTGTTAAAATTCAAATAATTTTCCCAACCAAGATTGTAATAATCAGAATAAGAATCATATACCTCATGGCTAGTTTCAAAATAATTAGGCTCAATCAATTGTCCAAATGAATTTTTCCTAATAATTGGGGGACCTTGAGAGTAACTCTTTATGTATTGATCTAACTTCCTTTCAATATATGCAATATGAGAAATTAAAATAGTAAGCATATCTTCTTGAAAATTTGCCACTCTCTTAGAGTTAACGCTTTCAAAGCAACTAACATTATAATCCAAATCTGAATATTCATTATATTTTTGATCCACTATTTTACATTAAATTCATGGAGTCTTTTCTAATTCATCATCCTCCTAAAAGTTCTCTATAAATCAGAGTCATAAAATCCAAGGTATGCGACTCTTGAACTACGCATACAAATTTAAAGACATAACTAATAGGATATATATCAAAAATATTTTTGGTATTTTTAATTTTCTTTAAAATAAACAAACAATAACTAAACACACTATGTAATACTATAAATTCCAAAACAAAGTCTAAAAGGTTTAATTAAAATTCTCCTATAGTTTTTACCGAAGCTTCCACGACAACGGCGCCAAAAACTTGATGTGCCCCTAGTGTGTGCTGCTTTTCTACGTGTTTTATGTCAATTTAAGTCCCTAGTACAGTGCCAAAAACTTGACCCATCCCAAAATTATGACCCATCCCAAAATTACGCCCCATCCCAAAATTACGCAGTAATTTAGTTTTGAAAAATATGGCCACCCAATTTATATTAAGTACTTAAAGTACTTAATGTGAAAAATTGAAATGTTATAAAATATAGAAAATAGTTCATGAAATATGGGTTCTACTCAAGTGCACCTATCGCTTCATGTAATACAGAACTTTCTGATTAAGATCCAAATATCAATCCCACGAGAAAGCGAGAAAAGTGGTCCTTAGTCAAATTCCAGTCTACTACTATTAGTTCTTAGTTTGGAATGTTGATTAAAATTGTATTTTATTAGCAACTACTCCTAAATGCAAATGTTATATGTAAGGAAAGTAACTATTCCTAAATGTAAATACTAAATGTAAATATTCTAAATGTAAATATTAATTCTAACGATAACCCTTTCTGGATGAATTGGTTTAGAGAATTTTAAGATGTTAAAAACTGTTATTCTTATGAAGTGAATTGGATAACGTAAAGGAATGATATACATTAAATATTGTATGTGTCAAATAAGAGCAATTTTAATTCTCTACCCTCAGTCAAGTGTTATAGAGAATCATTGGCTAATCTTAGGCTTAGTTCTAAATTCGTGATTAAGTTGGGAGGATACTGGCTCTCACTGCAGAACTCCCACTTCCCTTCCCCAGAAGGCTAATTCTTGCTTTAGTTCTTAAACACTAAGACCAAATTAGGGATTTTAGTCTGTCACCATAGAATCTCCAATTCTTCTCCTAATAATATGCATATTTCCCAATTTATTTGCACTCAGCCCCCATGAACTTCACCATCCATGAAATTTGAATGTAGTTCCACTTTGTTAAGAATTACACCACCCTCTCGGGTCTTATTGCAGTTAAAAGGAATTTTAACACCACAACGGGTCCTTATTGTAATATAAATGAAGTGCAAGTAAAAATCATTACATTTATAATTAAAAGTTCTTCAAGCATGCATCCCAATATCCTAAACATGAATCCTACTTATTTCAAAAGAAAAGTAAAAGGAAAATAACGACATAATCTTCTCATGCCACTATTTCCAAAAAAGAAGAGAGTAAGAGAAACACATCACAAAGCACGAAGAAAACACAGTGAAAAACTTTATTACATCAAAGCAAATTAACTAGATAAGTGCTTACAAAATTATAAGATAATGAAGAACACAATACTTAGCTTTTTTCTCTTGAAAGAAAGATGGAAATCTCTCCCACGAAGTCTACTGCTGATCCATGCAATGTTAGTATATCTCCTTATAGACTTTCTCATAATCCCCTCTCCAATCTCTCCAAAAAGGTAGAAATCTACATGTCCACTCCTATTCTAAGATCTATAAACATTCTCCATGTTTTTCCACTCACACATCCCTTTTTCGGATAACATAAAATCACTCTATTATAGTGTAGGGACGAATTTCTCAAGAGATTCCTCAAGCAACCTCCAAAAAATTGTCCAAATACACCTTCTAAAAATCATCCAAATACATTGAATCTCGGCCATATTTGCCCAAAATCATGTCCAAGCTGTCTCAGGCGCCGTTGGCGTTGTTTTGGGCGCTGTCGGCGCTAGTTTGGGTGCCACTAGTCTACAGTAACTCCACCATTTTGCTTCGTTTGACTCCGTTTCAGCTCTGTTTCGCCCCATTTCAGTTGAGTTTCGTTCCTAACAGATAGACCTATAAAATAAGCATGAAAAAATCTTTCTTTAAAGTGTAATTTCATTCAAAAATAGGTGAGAAGTGTAAAATAGATCAAGCATAGAAAGATATATCGAAATGTGTCATGACATAAATTTTTTTCTTGCTTTGTTTTTCTCCAAATTGCACCGTTTTTGCTTCTTTTTCTCCAAAACTCCATTTCCTGTACCTGAAACCAAAAATATACAAAATACCTTCCTTTAAAGTGCAATATCATTGATAATCACCAAATATAGGCATTAAAAACATATGAAAAATTGAACTTTTTTTAGGAGTATCGGCACCTCATCGGGGAATGAGAATTGACAGTACAATATCGCCTTCTAGCCATTCTAAAGGCTCTCCTAATTGAGTTATAGTGATTCACCCTCCATCCTATAGCATAGTCTTGCTCAGCCAATAAGAGCTCATCATTCAATGATCAATATCTTGCAGCCAGAATAGATTAAATAATCGACAAAGCCTAGCCGATTGAATCAGTGCTGCCAATCCATTGATAACCAAGCCCAGTCGACCGACAACATCGGCTCAACCTAGCCGACTGGTTCGGCCTTACCGAGCTGAAGTCATACAAACCAAGTTGGCCGAGCCAGATAACAGTCGAGCTATTTGCTCATATATGCAAAAACAAAGAATATTTTGTACAACCTCAATCTAAACTGAGGCGAAAATATAATATCACTATATTTTACCATTTTTCTTATAAATAAGGAGAACATTATATGAATAAAAGGAGATAGACAAGACATATTGTTGTTCATCTATTTTTGTCCCTCTCATTTTTTTATGCTCTATTCTTTGAGTGTGATGATTCATGGACAAATCAGGATTCCACAACACCGAATCATTAGACAACTTGAGACATAAATTTATCTTTTATCCCGCTATGATTGTTCAAAATTAGTATAATAAATGAGCTAGGATAAAAGAGCCATCCATGATACAATTACGCAGGTTTTAAACTTGAACTGATGCTGCCGACCATGCAACAATTTCTGGTGAGTAATAAAATTATTATTTCAGTTATTTCAAACCAGTCTGATACTACGTATTTTTAAAAAAATCAGCAACAATGTTTCTGAGGAAGTAAGAACTTCAATCTTTATTGGCGCAGACCGTTTACTTTCAGCTATATTCAAGTCAGTTAATTAGAGAAACTCTTACAAATAGTCATCAAAAGAATGTAATCATAAATTCTCCCACTTAAAACAAAAGAGAACTTTGAAATATAATTTCAAAGAGAATTGCAAATCTCATTCTTCGTAGTTGAAAAATATCAGTATTTTAGAAAACTAAATTTTAAATATACATATGTACACGTGGTACAAGGGCAATACATAAAGTGCACCCACCAGTAAAATTTTAATATTCCATACGAGTGCTTGGTCGCACCCATGCTAGCTGGCAAACTAGCAGTGCAGCTCAAGACCAAATTCCTGAAGAACATATATCAAAATAACCGATCTCAGTTGCAGTAATTCAACTCGAGATCAGGAACACTAGCATCCACAGTACATCTTCTCCACACCACCACCCCACAGATTAAATAAAAAAAAAATCATATTCCGACGTAAAAATATTATTGCACAATCTAGCAAGGAAAATGTGGCGAGATGTTCCTTTTATTGATCTTATCGAATTGAATTCTTATCACCACCGCTCTATATACCGAAAGCAGATCATTAAAAAAAAAAAATTTAAAGGCTTATTGCGATATACATAGAAAAATATAGATAAGGATATTTAGAGATCGAAGACTGAAGACCACAAATTAACAAACAATCATCCTCTAAAATGCTTCGAACCCAGACTGCTCCATAGAGATCCAATCCCCAATCATAAGCTCTTGAAAATGATGATTAGATCCAATTTCCTGCGGCGCTCTAGCAGCCACCACCACAGAATTCTTCTCCTGTGCCGGCCACGGCATATTCGGATAAAGCGAACCCCAATTCATGGGAAACACATCTCCGCCGTTCACCTCTGGCAAGATCGATGATGACGCTAAGCTTCCGTGTTCTACGGCGAAGCCTAGCTCGACCACAGACTCGTCCATCCCGCAATTGCCAGCCATAAATTCTAGATTGGCTTCATCTGCTTGGCTAATAGCTTGGCAGTTCATATCAGTTGATGGCGTTGACGACGATGACAATTCGGCCGTCACGGATCCAATAAACCCAAATGAATCGTCCATATCTGAAGGCAATTTATCCGGCACATGGTTTAAGTACCTAGCATACATAACTGCCATATCTATATTGGAGCCTCCGGATTCCGATTTCGGATGATAGTTGTCGAACATGTCATCGAGTGCTTGGTCAGGGCGAAGCCCGGATTCTGGTCCTCGAGTGCTATCAATCTGTAGGCTACTACTTGATGAAGAGGTGGAGGTGATGGAATCGGTGGAAAGTCGAACTGACTTTCCACGGCGGTTTTTGCGGCAGCCTCCGCCGACTGGCACGTTGCGGAGTGAACCGCCTTTTGTCCAGTACCTTCGACAGCCTTTGCAGAAGTAGCGCGGCTGGGTGAGACTGTAGTTGTTGTAATAGCAGAATTTGGTGTTTGAGGAATCACAACGAGGGCAATTCGGGGCAATCTCGACAGACGGTTTCCATCGCCGGTGATCGACAGGCGCCGGTCTTGGCTCATAGGAAAGAAAACGGTGATCCTCGGGTGAGAACATGGAGAAATGGTGAGGGAGGGAGGGAGAAGATGGTGGGCGAGCGGGGATGCGCGGCTTTAAATTTGAGCTACATAGGTCCGAGTTAGTATTGTTCGGCATGTGACGCGCACGTGGGAGGGCGTACATTTGGACAATGGGCGGCGGAAGGCGGAGCTACCAAATGATTGGGCCGCAGGGAGACGGGTTGGATGAGAAGCCGGGTGGGCCGAGCTGCTATTAGGGGCTGAGTGTTTTGATTTGTTGAATCAAAGGAGTTTATTCAGGATGCCGGGGGAATCCCGGTGGAAATGGATTTACGTGAATGCCCTAGCTTTGATAGCGAGGGCACGCGGAGGGGTACAGGCGTGGGCCAGGATCAGACGGTAATGGGGAGGTCTGATCACGTGAGCGAGTGCTTGAAGGAGGAGGAGTAGGGAGGGTCTTTTTGGGGGACGGCGATGTAAATGGAACGGTGAAGTAGACAGACGGGACCACCTGGGGCGGAGTACTCGGGTGAAATAATGGGTTTAAGGAGGATATTTTCAAAAATAACTTTTTCGAAATTACTTTTGGAGTGCAAACGAGCGATAATTGATCTAAATAATTGCTGAATACAGACGGGACCACCTGGGGCGGAGTACTCGGGTGAAATAATGGGTTTAAGGAGGATATTTTCGAAAATAACTTTTTCGAAATTACTTTTGGAGTGCTAACGAGCGATAATTGATCTAAATAATTGCTGAATTTGAGTTGAACCTTGCTTGACACGATGGGATACGGCGCTCTAGGTATTTCAAGTGACGCTTTGACGATTTTTTACGGTTTCTTGGGAGTGTTTCATTATGGAAAAATTTTATAGTGGATAATAGTGTTTACGGAATTCTATTGCCACTATTTCGGATAATATTTCTTCTCTCTGAGTTTTACTCCAACATTTCAATTGCATTCTCAGATTAGATGAGAGAGTGAGCGGTCTACCTCTTTGCCATGCAAGGTTTATGATTTTAATAATTGTTTTTTTTTAATCCTGCTCTTACTGAGCTACAAAACTCTAGCTATTCCTTTATTCAATGTAATAATCAATTGAATAATATCATTGGATGCCTCCTTCATATAGCTCTTTGCAATGCTTATTGAATTAGTTTTTTTCTAATTCTTTTTTAGAAATCTTAAATGCATACTCTTTTAATCATCACTCTATTATGGTTTCTTTAGGCAATTCTTACAAAGTGCATTGTAGATTTATATATAAGAAATATTGGCAATTTTGCCATGTTTTTTTTTTAAAATGTTATGAATAGCTTGGAATATTCTTGTAAAAGGGGATCCTATTTTTTCTATTTGCAATATGTTCTGTAATATTAAATTAGCTTTTAAGGGGTGACATTGAAATTCCTCTATTATTTTTTTCTAAATACATTGTTAATCTTAAATATCAATAAAATCATAAATTGACTAAACCTGAAAATACTCCTCTTTCTAATGATTTTCTAGATCAAACTTCTTATGTCTAAAAATTACTTTTAATGCTTCTTTTTGTGACTAGAAAAGGGCTAAACAAAGAGCTAAATGGTCTTAGTTAACAAAAGGTGACGATAAATATTGATACCTTTATCGAAAAGCTAAATGTAGTCACAATTCTAATTTTATTAAAGAGATTTTTGTTAATGGTGACTATATTCATAGTCTTGAGGACAAGTAATTTTATTCTAATCTACTTAATGGTCTACTTAATAATGATCATTTTTAGGGATTCGTTTCCTACTAATAATTTTATATGTGAAGACTCTTTTTTATTGACTCAATGTTTTTTGGATAAGAATATTAATGTTTTTTTTCGATTGGTTCTAATAAAACTCCAAGGGCTAATTATTTTAATTTGAAAACATCTAAATACGCTTGAGATATTATTAACACTGATTGCATTTATGCTATTATTTATTTTGTTATCATTATCAAACTCTCTCATAAAGTTGAAGATTCTGCTTTTATTTTTATCCCTAAAAGATCTTATGCTAAGTTTTTTTTTTCATTATTATTATCATCCTAATTTTTTATGTAACACTTTTTTTATAAAATTATTGCTACTCTGCGGACTGATAAACTTAATGTGATTCTCCCTAAGATTATTCATCCTATCAAAGTAAATTTTATTAAAGGTCATGATATTACTGATAATATTATATTAGAAAATGAACATGTCAATAGTTTTAATTACTGCATATTTGCTATAAAATTTTGTGCTAAAATAGATATCACTAAAACTTTTGATAACGTTAATAGACAATTTTTTTATAAAATATTACAAAGGATTAACATTCCATATAATTTTATTAAATGGATTGGAGTTAGAACTTTTGATCTTAGTTGTTCTATTATTATTAATATTACTAGACAAAAAGACTATTTTGCTTCTTCTTCAGGAATAAGGCATGATTTTCTTCTCTCGCCTTATGCTACTGTTATGTGTTCTTTTTTTTTTTATATATTTGATAATCATTTGTTTAAAGATAAATTTCTTCTCTCGCCTTATGCTACTGTTATGTGTTCTCTTTTTTTTATATTTGATAATCATTTGTTTAAAGATAATAATGTTGATACTATAAATCACTTGATTTATGCTAATTAAGTTGTTATCTTCAGTAAGACTGATTCTCATCATATTAAAATTAAGTTATAGTACTATTAGAAAATTTAGCAAAGCTTAAAATCTCTACATTAATATTTCTAAATCTATCATTAATTTTTGTAAAATTGTTAATTGTAATCTTCGGCAACATATTTTTACCTTTTGTGGCATAAATTAAACATTATCATATAATTACGTCGGTGTAACTATAAAAACTTCTAAGCTGGTCATTGCTAGTTGGCATAAACTAACTGACAAAATTTACATTTGCCTTGCTAGATAGAATCATAAAATTTATCTGTTGCCAGTATATTTCACTTAATTTTATTCATTATATGAAGCTACTTATATTATTGGATTTGTTCTATCTTTTTATTTAATGGTTTGAAGGAAAATGATTTTTACTTTAATTTACAAATTTTTTCTTAATAATTATTGTAATAAGAAGCCTCATACCCTTTTGTAGAATAAAATAACTTTGCCGAAGCATGCTGGTGGTCTAGGTCTTCTTTCTCTTGATTCTATAAGCATTATGTGAAATATAAAAATTATATGATAATTTATAACTCTTTTCCTTTTTTGAGAGATTGGATTTTCCATATTTATGTTTCTTTGGAGTAATCTTCATTCTATTTATACTCTTTTTTGGAAAAATCTTATGAGAATTGCTAATAAGATTATAAGTGCTTTAAATTTGAAAATTATTAATGATTACCATTCATTTTTTTTACCCTTGGTTCGATGAAGTTTCTTCTAAAAAGCATTTTGGTTTTCTATATTTACAAAGTTTAATTTTACTCTTGATATGACAACATTATTCATAATAATTGTTAGAATTTTCATAAAATCATATTGATTCTGATTTTTGTATTGAAGTTATTTAAAAGATTCCTTTTACTGATGGCCTTGCTTATATGTGAAATTAATGTTCTATCTATCCTCAAAACTTTCATCCATCTGTTAACTTGTTTAACATGGTGTGGTTCAAAAGGTTTTTTTATGGTACGCTCTTCATATGTGGAAAATTGTTATTAAAGGTCTAAAAACTTGTGATATTCTCACTTGAGGAGGAATAGATGTTAAATTTACTTATATTTTTATGTTTAAATGATTTTGAAATAATATTATCTCTTTTTAGAATGCTTGTTTCCTCACTTTTTATCTTAAAATATGTTTTTCTAATGATCAAAATTTTCATTTCTTATAGTAAAAATTACCAGGATCTTTACAATTTTGTTAATTTATCTTGCAAATTCCTTAAGTTTTTTAATGTTTTAACTTTGTAAGTCAGTTCTTTCGATATATGGCATGAGAGGAATTTTAGGATTTTTAGAAACCAACATAAATTTCTTTATTATAGTATTTGTTATATTCATTAGATGATCTTTTTAAAAGTAAGAAATAAAAAAATAAAAATTTATATTTTTTATTATATCAGAAATTTCTATAGTTTTTAACCTTTTTTAGTTTTGTTTTCTCTTATTTTGATTGTTAGATTTGGTTTTGGGCTTAGTTTTGATATTATTGTGTTTGATTTTGGTATTTACCTTTTTTTATTTCTTCTAGAAGTGTCATTCATTCAATATTATAAATTCAGTTCTCTAAATATATATCTTTTGTTCTTAGGTGGAGATTTCCTTTATGTGAGATCCTATTTACTTTTTAGTCCTTGTCAGATTCCTTTCATGAGTCTTGGATGAATTAAAATATGTCTGATTAAATATTGCATATGGTTTTTTTGTCTAGATTATATTTTTTTGTCATGATGATTGCCAGCTTTGCATTAAATATTAACTGTTATTTTGTTTAAAATTAATTAATGTACATTGTTATGGAATGGAAGTATAATGTTTTTATTTTGGGGCGTGACATCTGAGCCCATTTACTTTATCTTCTCATTTTCTTCCATTTTTCTATCTATTTCTACACTTCTATTTCCTTATGTGATTGTTCTTTTTTACTTCCTTTTCTATAGAGATTTTTGCTTTTTTTTGTTCTTGTTTCTCTTTAATTTTGGTTATTAATTGTTTTCTTCTTCTTCTGATATTTATTTTTTCTCATCTTTGTTTCTTTTCCTTTTCAAGTGATTTAGATCATCTTACAGCCATTTGTGGAGTTTGGCTTAGCTGATACTATTTACTTATGAAGATTCTTCCATATCTAGTTGATGTTTTTACGCTTGGCTGTTTTCACAGTAGCTACTAGCTTTAGTTTGAGATTTTCTTTTTTTCATTTACTGTTCAATGTTAGTATTCTTGGTTGGTTATCTTTTTGTGCTTGTATGTTCTTTAATAATGTATGTATTGTTGTTTGTAGGTTGTCTATTTGTTTTAGGTTGAGTTGTATTTTCTTTATCATTATTTTGAATAAAATTGGGTGTGACCAAAGTAACATTTTAATTTTGGGGGATTTTGATACACCTAAAATTTATAATGTTTTTAGACACAATACCTATTTTTGAGATATTGTGCTTTAATAGAAGGTATTTGTGTGTTTTTCTTTCAGGTAGAAGTAAAAAGGTGAAAAATGC